CAAGCCATTTCAAGCAGATTTAAAAATGCCCCAGAGAGTACCAGACATGCACCTCCAATAAGTGGGGTTTGGATGATTTAACAGAATTTCCTTTCATACTCTGTGTGAGAACTTGTTGTGGAGTTGAAAGCCCAGATTTTATCATACATGTACTGCAAAATGCAAGAAGAAAACAGAAAAGTATGAATAAAGCAGTTAGAATCCTTGTAGAAGCTTCATGATAGGCAAAAAAGTAACTAATTTCTGAGTTTTCAAATTGTTCTGTTAGAAAATATGTAAAGATTCTATGGGATCTATAACTCCCACTTCTAGCTTTAAACATTACATCTTGCTGCTCCTTTCAAGTTTGATAATACTCTGATTTATTCGGCTTGTTGGGGATTTTTTTTTTTTTCTGCTAAGAATTTCTATCTTAACAAAATATTTTCTTTTCAAAGTTCTCAAAAATAACAAACTTCTTCACTTTCTTATTTTACAAAAGATGACTGCAATATTATCTGATTATGTAATCAATTCAGTGTCTCCCCCACATTCCAAAATTTCATACCTCACTGGAGCTACCCTACATGAAAGAGGTCTCTTAGGAAAGTCAGTCAGAATTCACTGATTTGGCCCTTTGGAGAGAACTCTGATTACCAGACAATCTGGGTGGATGTTATAAACATGAGAGCAAAGAGCAAAACCAAAACAAATTAAACTAAATATTTTCTTACACATTTCTCACCTAACAAATTCATGGTTTATTCTTATTGAAATAAACAGCATGTAACTATTAAAGTAAAGATCTCATTTGTCTTCACAGAATTCACAGAATGTCCAGGTTGGAAGAGACCTTAAAGATCATTGAGTCCAACCCATGCCCTGACACCTCAACTAAACCATGGTACTGAGTGCCACATCCAGACTTTCCTTAAACACATCCAGGGATGGTGACTCCACCACCTCCCCAGGCAGGCCATTCCAGAACTTTATCACTCTTTCTGTAAAAAACTTCTTCCTAATATCTAACCTATATTTCCCTTGACACAGCTTGAGACTGTCTTAATAGAGTTAATACTGAAAAACCTATCCTAGAGTCAATCAAACCAATATTCATATTTTTTTCAAAGCTTGTGTAAAACACTGTAAATCTGACTTTTTTTATTCTTCAAGTTTTCCATTGTTTAGTGTGCATTAAGCCTTACAACCAACTTGTGATTAAATGTGGTAAACAAATAAAAAAAAATTCCTCATTTCTAACAATACACTGCAAGTCTGGACCTGAGCTATTAGCTGTTATGCTGATTACTGCTGCATCTATGCTCTTAAGTGGGGAGCAGTCAATGAAGTTATTCCCAACCCAAATCTCTTCTGCCCTGCTGTGCTCTTCCATCCACAAACTAGACACAACCACAGTGTTATCACAGGGCACCACCATAAGTGAGGTTGCAGGGCCAACGGAATTGCAGATTTACCTGGTAGGTTTCCCAGAATTTCCCCAAGCCCATCCCCTGCTGATGAACCTCTGCTATGTCAATAGTGGTGGCTCCATGCATTAGTTTTTTTATAATACTAATATATAATATCACCTCTGTAATAAAATGTTCACCACTACCTTTGGACTAACTGCAGATTAAATTTTAGAAATGAGACTTTTCTTGGCAACACTTGTACAAATGAAAAAAAAAGATAAATTAAATTCTTCTACTAAGAAAAACAGAAACCCAGGCACTAAAGCCTAACTGTTTTTATTGCATCTAGAAGATGTAATAGAAGAATAAATTATTTATTCATTTACTCCTTTTGGTATGAAATTGCAAGGTAACTCCTAACATTTCTTAGACCTTTGCCTCCTGGACTTCAAGAAAAACAGTGAGAATTTCAAAAATTGTGTATTTAGGTCATGTAAAAATGGGATATAACCTTTAGAGAGGGTTGAAAAAGTGAAGAGATTTTCCATGCCCCTCGTCAAAAAGACTACACTAATGGTCCACCTGGCATATAAAAACTTATAACAGCTGTTATGAAACATTTTCATAAGACTATGAAGCTCGTATAAGAAAGTACAATATTAATTTACTTTTCTCTAATTCTGTGATCAACCTGTGTCAGTGGGGACAGGGAATCTTGAAATGATTAAATATAATTTTTAATGTGTTAGAATATTTTAGCAAAAAATACAATTAATCTATTACTTTCCATACATTTAGCCCTTTTGGAAGGAGAATGAAATGTCCATCTTCTATGATGAATTGAATGGAACTGACTTGGTTTGCTTTTACATGTGTTATTTCTGTATATGGCAAGATTCGCAAGACTTGATGAAAATTCCAGAAAGAAAATGCTTTGCAATTTCTGCTTGTACAGGACAGCAGATAAACATCTTCAAGCTCCATCAAACAAACTGAAGAACAATACATCTTTTCTCATGAGCCCACTAGAAAGTGATACATCATAATAAAGAGCACAATTTTTTTTTGCTCAATTGCTTTACATCACACATAATGTGGTCACCTGCAAGAGAAATATCATTAGAACTTTATGACAGTTATGATCTGTCATACAGGACATAGAGGCTTCTTTCTTAACATCGTTATCTCTGGAGCAGTAGCAGGAGGCATAGGCATGTGATTTGAGCATCAAAACAAGAGAGCATGGCATTCCTTTCACTTTATTCCAGAGCTCAGTTCATAATTTAAACTACGATATTTTCCAACTCTGGTATCTAATTCACCTGCAAAAGTACTGAGTGTTTTGTAGAAGTAGGAAGGAATCAGAAATATCTGTGGTTCCAAGGACAGGGAACATGATGGGAAAATCATAACTAATATAACAGATATATACTTACCCAACAAAACATACCCCAATGCTTTTCCTTTACGATTATTATGAGCCAGCAGAAATATCTGGTTTTTTGATTAGCCAATAAAACTGGATTAACACACAGGAAGAATGAATATATTGCTTAAAACTGTCACTGATAGTATTTTGTATTACTGCAAAAAGGATCAAAGATTGTCACTGATCCAGTATTGTACTTGACAACAACCTGCTTTCTTATAGGCCTCCTACTAATCTCCTTTAGGGGTTAGTAAAATACTGTGTGTTTATAAAACCATAATATGTTGATCATATATTGACCATAACTGCTTTCACAAATACTAGTTAGAGTAGCCATAATTTATTAACAAAAACCCATTAATTACAGATTTAAATAGTCCAGATTTAGGTTTCCTGAATGGAATTTTTTTCAATTTTCAGATTAGCATTGGCCGTGGACAGACTGTTCCTAGCCAGGTGGGCAAAGAACACATGGGAATGTGTAACTGTACTAATTTTGTATAGAATCTATCACAATGCTTAAAAGAAATCACCAATGAAATACTCAATTGCACTTTGAAGAAAGAGGCAAACCTAGGAATCACAGCTGCAGTGGTTTACATTCAGGACCATCTTTGCCCTCTATTAAAATTCCCTTTGAGTAGATATTATTTTTCATGTAGCACATCAAAGGATAATGCCTTGCCAAATGTTTCTTAGAGATTGTTATAGAACTTTGGGTTTCATTCGGTGTTATACTTATCAGACTCCTTGCAGGGTGTGATTCATTGTCACCTATCTTCACAGTGTCCTCTTTAAATCAGGCTTTTGTACTACAACATTCACTTGCAACCTTGAGAACTGTGTATCCAACGGGAGATGTTTACCTCCTCAATCTATCGGAATTCCATCTTAAACTTACAGAACAGAAGTGTATTTTTCAGTGGGGTCTTCATCCTGCATGCTGTTCCATACTAGAAATATCCAAACAGATTTTGCTAAGAGGCACAAGGCTCCCAGAAACCCTCAGAAAGGGTGGTTAACAAAGCAAACAGGTGAAAAGGCATTCAGAAATCATATATAAGACTCCTTTTTTTTCCTAATTTGAATAATCTTAAAATGCTTCTGTTCAGCTGCCAATGCATAAAGTTTAATTTGGCAGAACTTCTGCTTGGAAGAACACAATGTCCTGAAGTGGGTTTTCTTATGGAAAGCCTTCCTTTTAGCTTTCAGCAAGCACAGTATATACCAGTCCTATACCAATAAGCTAAATCCAGAGAATGTATATAAACAGAAAGGCAAAGGATGTGCATTTCCCATTGGTACACGAGTCTGAGTTTGAATTAATGGAAACTGGGTACTCTACAGGGACTCTAATTGTCATGCAAATTACAGTAACTTAAAATATCCTCTGACTTGTCTTTGTTCTTTCTATTTTTTAAACCCAAATCCTCAGATTTCTTCCTGTGATTTACTCCATGAACAACATGTTGATTTGATTTTGCACATAGGGATACAGCTCTTATTACAGGTATTATTATGGCTAAGCTTCTTTCATATTTGTGCCTAGAAGTCCCAGAACAACTGAACTGGAAACCACTAGCTTTGATACAAAGATGAATTTTCTTATTGACAGTTATAAATAATAAAAAACAGAAAAAGGTTTTCAGTTTTGTCTGTTAAATTCAGAGACAACTGAAGTTCCTTGCAAAACTTATCTGGCATTGTGAAAGCATCTTGTGATATAGTAGAGATAATCGCAAACACCATTAGAAGGAACAACCTCAATATTGCATTAGAAATCAAACACCCTTGTTTGCCAGTATGTTGTTTTCATAAATTAAAATGAAAACTGTGATATCCTTCAGTAATGATCCAAAATGGTTTAATTATTCTTTTTAAAGTGATTGTGATTTGGACCATCAGAGCAGATTATCATAAGAATTTTAACAAACTTTTGATGTTTAAAGCCACACTAAGAATGAGCTATATCCAAGTACAGAAAAAAACCAATATTTTATTTATAATCTTAGTTTAGTGTTTGAACTACAAATTCTGGTTCTAGAATTGCTTAAAAGATCATGGGTTTTATAGGCTTTCACAAGTAAATTAATTTTTGGTTTGTATTTTTTACTATTTTTTTCCATTTTTTTCACAGAATGGTGCTTTCGGTAAATACAGAGCAAATCATTACATGGAGAAAAAAAAGGTTTACTTGTTTTTCTCACTTGCAAAGTTACTGTTATTACTCCATTCTCTGTTGAATAATTTCAAAAAGGGCATGAGAAAACAAAAGAAGAAAGAGAAAGTGACAAAATAGACCGAATCTCACCACTAGAATTCACCATAAAAATTTCCAAAGTGTAACAGAATTCTTACAAAATTTCCTAGATCAGTTCTTTTAGGGAATCAAGATCTTCTATGAAAAATATGGCAAATGGGAGTCAGGGTAGGTTGGGCAGGAAAACGGGAACGAGGAGGGTAAATAACTGCAGCAAAAACAGGTTCTGAGGAATACACATAATTTTGTCTGCTTTAGATCACAATAGAATTTTTAATAAATAAATTTCTTTTTCTTTGTAAAGACACTTTTGAAACAGTAGATTTAGCCCAGTCATTTGTGTCATTTGTTTTATAAACCATCTTTTGTTGTCCCCCCACCCCACCCCTTAATGTCATAAATGTTTTAGATTTGAGTCTCTTGAACATTGTCTTTCGAGTTCATTCGGATCAATAACGGTTCATGCACTGAACTGTGTATTGAATTTATTGTGTTAACTGTTGTTGTGTGGTTGAAAGGAGATTTATAAGAGTTATAGTGATTTAAGTGCTCATGCTCTATTGCTGGCATGGGCAAATGACTCTCTATGGGTGTGTCACCTGTAAGCTCATCATCCACATTAATGATCTCTACAGTCCGTGTTGGAGCATGATGGTTCTGCCGGTGATGCTGTTTCCTCATTTTGTAGAAAATTACCAGCATCACAGCAGCCATGAGAGTGATAGCCACAAAACAACCAATTATGATTTTGGTAGTCTTCATAACCTCATCTATTCCTGGGATCCCGTTGTTTGTGTCCGTCACAGGAATGGTGAAGGTTTTTTCTGTTGATCTTGTGCTCTGTGGAGTGAGTGAGGTTGTCATGTTAATGGTTTCCCAGTTGGTAACTGGTGTGGGCCCAACCTGCTCTGTGGTCTGTGCCTCATCCTGAGAAGGTTCCACAGTCTCCACCGTGACAGTTGAAAAGTACGTGTAACCAGGGTTATCCAGGGCGGTCACATTCAGCGTGGCAGAAGCAGTGGTATTCCCAACAGAGTTACTCACCATGCATGTGTACAAACCCGTGTCTTGCACAGTTACCTTTGTAAAATTTAACGTGCCATCACTGAGCACAGCAATCCGAACTCTGTATGCCCCATGCGTCATTACAGATCCATTTGGAGTAATCCAAGATACAGAGGTCAGGGAGGTCGATGCCCGGCATTTCATCTCTGCAGCCATGCCTTCTGTGACGTTGAGGTCTGCTGGTGGCTCCACTATGACTGGAGCATAACATGTGAAGTAATTCAGGTCCAGCTCACCAATGTACCTTCCTTTTAAACTGGGGGGCGTGTGGCAACGGGCACAGCATGCAGTGTTGGAGGGTGCCTTGTCTTTAATCCACCAGCTGAGCCAAAGGATATCACAGTTGCAGTTCCAAGGATTGTGATGCAAGTGGATCCTTTCTAGGCGGAGCGGTGTGAACAGGTCATGAGGCAGTAGCGTTAGATTGTTGTGTGCCAGGTTGATCTCTACAAGTGACTGAAGGTTATCAAAAGCATTCCTTTCTATCACTTGAATCTGGGACTGTATCATCCACAATTTCTGAAGATGCATCAACCCTTGGAAAGAGCCTGGCCGGATGGCAGTCAGGTGATTCCCAGAAAGATCTAACTCATCCAGTTTTACAAGCGGAGTAAGGTTAGGAATCTCTCGAAGATTGCACATGGCAAGGTTCAAATACCTCAAGTTGGACAGACCTTCAAAGGCACCTTCTGAGATGTATGAAAGCCTTTTCAATTCCCCCAAATCCAACCTCCGGAGAGAAGGGATTCTGTTAAAAGCATAAGAAGGGATGCTCTCAATGGGGTTGTTTCTCAACCACAGTTCCTTCAGTTTTGATAGGTATACAAAAGCCCCATTTGGGATAGTGGTCAGACGATTGTCAAAGAGTTCCAAAGTGTTGAGATTGGCCAGACCATTGAAAGCCCCTATTTCAATTGTTCTGATGTGATTCCTGCTGAGCTGCAGGATTTCTAGGTGCCTCAGATGCTTGAAGCTATTAACTTTAATAATCTGAATCTGGTTCTCATGGAGATTGAGTAGCCGGGTGTTGGTGGAGATGCCGTCTGGCACGTCTCTAAGATTTTTCCGTACACAAATCACTTTACTGAACTGGTTGCTGCAGGAGCAGACAGAAGGGCAAGTTTGAGCCCTCACTAGACCAGCCACCACAAGAAGCTGAAGAGCCAACAGCACCACAAGCAGGGGGTCAAATAGGGCCCTGTTAAACCTAGGACCTATCATTATCTGCTGTGGATGTAAGGTCATCTTGTTCAACATTCATAATTTATTTGGTGTTGGTCCTTCTGGAGTTTGAATCGTCTGAAAGAAAGGAAGAAAGGAGAAGGAGAACATTAAATTAATCTCAAATAATTGTGTTCTCTCAACAAAGGCTTTCAAGCCTTTTCAGTCAACTTTACCAATTTCTTGAAATTCGATAGTAAGAACAGGTATAGAATTTCTAATATTATTTTCTGTACAGATATGTATGTCAACTGCAACTGGCAATGAGATAAGAAATAGCCATACGTTAGTTCTCCTGCACATTCCAATGTACAGTGTATGCACGTGGATGGCAGATAAGAAGTTCAATCACAATGAATGCCTAAAAGAAGTGTAACTCGGGAGAGTTGAAAGAAAGGACAAGCATTTCAAAAGGCAGAAGTCAGTAACATAGGAATCTACTAAGACAGGAATTATCAGAGTATTCAAGGTGCTAACCTTTTTTACACATTGCAAGAGAACAGATAATATGAAAAGCAAGTTTCTGGTATGGGTAAAAATCTCTTGTCTATACAAATATGATTCCTGAATCAGAGTTTAACTAGAAGTAAGTCTCTAAAACTGAGTGTCATGCAGATGACAGGGCAAGATCTTGCTTATAAGAATTAAAAAAAATTAAAAAAATTAAAATAAAAAATTATACTGAGCATCATCCAATTTAATGATATGTCCTATTCAATTCTTTTGTTTGGCACCAGCAGCAGAGAAACACTCATTAGCAAATGTGTACTGAACACAGAAATGAGAATAGCCATTTATTTAAACGCTGAAAAATATCCCTGTAGCTGCAGGGCTGGCAGTTTCATTGGCACCTTGAAAAAACTCTCAAAAAATTCTTACTGCAAAGGGAAAAAAGACCTTCAAACTACAAATGATCATTACCATTTTAAGAACTTCAGTACTGATTCATGTGTGGCAGTTTTTATAGTCCCCAGCCTTCGGTTCATTTTCAATCTGCTGCTCAGTTCAAGATTCCTCTGTTGCTGAGATTAATGAAATTTCTTATAAATCAGCCAAAAGTGAAGTCTTAGAAATTACAGCAGGCTTAAAGCATATTTATAACCCAGAGCACCCAGATGGATAGTACCTATATATTCAGTAAAACAAAATACCATAAGGCAATGGTTTTCCACTCCAGGCTCCAAACCGATTCATTTTTTTGTAAAAAATAGAGACCTTTCTTTAAAAAAAAAAAAAAAAGCCAAACAAAACCAAACCAAAAAACCACCAAACCAGGAAAATATATTAAGTTTCATCTCACAGCAATTCATTTAATGAAAGACTATTTTTTCTAATTATATATTCAGACAATGTGTTTTTGAGAATTCATTTCTGCATTTTTAAAAAAACCTGCTATAAAGGTTCAGAGCTAGCAAGTGTTCGCATCTCATTTTTAATAATTTACTGCAGAAAAAGCCAATATAATGGTTAAAAAAACTGTGAAGGGAACTAGAAAGTCTGGGCTGTATCTGTATGTTTGATCTCTTTATATGTGCTATTTATAAAACATCATTCTTGTTATGAAAAATTAATGAAACTAATGTGTTTTGCAACCTTGAGCAAGTCACTTCTCTCTCTGCAGCTTACACTTCTGTCCCATGACTCTGGAGAACTCTGTGGCAGTAGCGTTAGATGTTTCTGCTCCCACCCTTCTATCCCTTTCCTCTGCCAACACCTGCACTCCTGAACATCAGCTTCATGGGTTTAGGATAATGTACTTGACTAGATGAGGGGTCTCTGCCCTACACACCTTCCTTTTCACTGCAGGACCACAAGGTCACTTATCTCTTCAGAGGTGCTGAACAGGATGTGTGGAGGAACACACTAAAATTCAAGGTTGCTTGCAAAATTCCACCTGCAGTAAAACTATATTCAAAAAGCAGGTGTAAAGGTCATAGTTCCCATCTTTTTTACACAGTTATGAAGAACAACCTGCCATCGTGGTCAAAAGAATTCTATTAGAGCCTAATATCAATTTTAGGGTTCTTAATTAAGACCTGTGATTCATGAATTTTGTTGCTGAATAGTAATTAACCATCATCTGTGATAGTGAATGTGATTGTATTAGCATTTTTGTCACTCTTTTTTAATTTAAATTTTTTGAATTTTTTTTTTTTTGCAGTAATTTGTTTTTCCTTTTTCATTTTCAAAATTCTTTTAAAACTTATACCCTGAGGACTTGGACTGAATAATGAATTCCATTCACAAGTAATAAAACAGATGCAGAAACACAACAAACTAATTATTTTACCATTGCACTGGTGCAATACTTTTGTCTCACTGAAACTGGGATGAGAACTCAGCCTGCTATGTCTGCCTTCAGAGCTGCCAGTTATCCTTGTGTACAAGGCTGCTGTGGCACAGGCAGCACGTGGGGCTTGCAGAGGCACAGGAATCTTCTCAGACCAATTCAGTACTAAAGGCCAGCTTGCTAGGATGTCATACAGTTTCTCTACCTTTCTTTTTGTGATTGTCTGGTCTGAATCTTGTATCCTGGATTCCCTGAAGGACCAGGAAAACTACAACATTTATAGAACAAAAAAGTACAGAGAAATAAGAAAGGCCATGGGAGAGCAAGGACCCTCAACATCAGGATGTGTATGCACCAAGTCCCTTCAGTTGCTCTTTTCTAGCCTTCATGAAGCTGATGATCCCAAGCCATGCTGCATATACTCCAAGGCACTTTCCTCCTGTTCCAATTACTTGAACCTGAGGGTGTCTCCCAACATTTCCTTTACCTAGTTCTTCATCCAGAAAATCTTCCCTTTTCATCACTACACATACGCTCCATGGGAAAAAGAAATCACTTGAGTACATTATTAAAACAAATAAATTATCCTATTATGAGACTGATCAGTAAATGTTGTCTAACCCAAACCAAAGTGTTTCCATGTCTCTGTTGCAAAAAGATTTTTGAAATAAATTTTTTTATCTTCTTATGATAAATTCCCTATATCCTTCCTATTTTTGGTTATTGACTGGAAAAATGAATCATTCACATAGAACAGCTTTTTGCTTGAACTGAAGACCAAAATTGCCTGTGGGTTTTACATTTACTGTTCTCCCTAGTCCTGTGCTAGGGATGTCTCAATCAAACATATGCCTCACTACAACCATCTATCAAAGACCTCCAGGAAAATCTGACACTGTCAGGTTTCTGTAAAATTCATATCTGTGCATACTTCAAATACAAGTTTGGTTACTGACTAATTGATAGCTTCTCTGAGTCTATAATTCTGAAGACAGGATCACCATTTTGTGATCTGTGGATACAAAGTTTTAGATATGTTTTCACATGTATTGGTATGTTTGATCTTTCTGTGTCTAAGCTATATCTTGCTTAATATACAAGTACAGAATATCTATATTGTCATCCTTCTGCAACATTTTCCAGGAGGCTGTGAGAGCAAATCTTAGTTTTGCATCCACCATTTGATTTAACTTTGGACTTAATTTATATTACTTGACGTTTTGCCCTGTTCTTTGTTAGTACAGGAAGCAAAATGCAGTTTTTAGGACAAGACCACACTAAGTGGACTTGGTGCTGCTAAAGTACAGGCGAAATGATGATCCAAAAATGTGACCATGACCAGCAGAAAATATATTAGGAAATACATTGCTAGTCCTCACTTCCAGCTACTGAGGTTTGCTTGAGGCTGACATACAGCAGTAAGATTCCTGGTGGCTGGAAGAATGTAGTCAAAAGATCCTTTCTTTTATAATGGTTGTTTTCCAGAGCTTAAATATTCAGGAAGTCTTGGTGCAGGTATTTCATATCAGGGCAATTTTAAATCATAAATGTCTTGGATATACCCTGGAAAAAAATTAGCCAGCACAAAATCACAGTGGAAAATTAATTTAAAGCCTTGAAGGGTGTTATGGAAATATTTTAATGGGCTTTACATAAAGATCCATCTGGAGCTCTGTACTAAAGTAATTTGCTATTCAATTCTTATTTATGCTAGAGACACCGAAGGTTTAGCTTTACAAGCCCACACATGGAACACAGACCATCAACCAGCTTCTTTAGTCTTTGTTGACACCTCTTTGTCTTCTAAGTAACTTTTTTTTCATTTTTCTAGTACCAAAATAGCAACTCTCGAGTCAATTCAATATCGCTAGTGCCCTCTGCTGTATAGACTAAAATTTAGTTTAAAATGTTAAGAATTTCCTTACTGCACAGTCGGTTCCCCATATACAGTGCAATTATCAAATGTGTTTCCAAACATGGCCTTAAGTCTGCTGTGGCATTGCTCTAATTACCACAGAATATGTTATCTGTTTTTTTAGCACAATAATGTATATTCTCTTTATGGCCATGAAGACATTTCCAGATATATATGGAGAGCTGTTCATTTGGTTTTCTATTTTCACAGAAATAAAAACCTTTTTTGGAAATTGGCATTTGATATGCATGTTCTCCTCTCTATAGCTTATCTGACTCTCTGTTACTCTTGATGTACTACACATTTTCCTCTGAGCTAAAAGCACTGCCCTCTTAAGATCCAGTGCAGAAGATGAAGCAAGGGATGACAGAGCTAATCTACCTCTGCAGCTATGCAAAGTGCAACTTTCCTTAGGGACAGCTTGGAGGATGCTGTGGTTATCCAATTACCCAACTGAATGAAAATTTGCCAAATGTGTATGCAGAAGTACCTTCTATATGGGCCTGGTAATATTGCTTCTTTTTTTTTTTTTTTCTTTTTTTTCTTTTTTTTTCTTTTTTTTTTTTTTTTTTTTTTTTTTTTTTCCTTGGGCCATATGTGCTTTGTTCTCCCTTTGCTATACTACCAGGAGAAAGTGGCCTTGCTCCCTCTGATTGCTGAAAGATTTTCCTGTAATGGGGGTCTTTGATAACAAAAGAGAACCTCCACAACATTTCCAAAGATCTGCCTAATGAGGTATGGCAGGTAGCAAAGATATTCCCCAAGCTTCAGTGACCCTTAGCTGGCAGTTTAGTTGCTGTTGGCAACTCATGCTTTGCTCTCTGTCTTGTC